GCGTGTGGGTCCCCCGGCAGGGGCGACGCTGGCCTGGCCGGGGGTTTCCTCTCTGGGTCCGCACAGGTGCCCGCCCTGTCTGAGCGTTCACCTTTCCCCGCCCCCGGTAGCTTAGGGGGGCCTCGGGTTGATTCAGTATCAACGAAGGCTTCTATTTTTAATCCCTTCGGGTCCTGACAGCGCTGGAGGTGAAAGGGATTAGGTTACTTATTTGGAAAGCACGTATAATCGCCTCCAAAAAGAAAACTGGTGTCCTGACCGAGGCATCAAGAGAGTCAGCTTGAATTACCCTAGTAGATGAATATAAAGCGCTGTTTCTAAATAAAAGCATCTTGGCTTTAGAATTCTGTTAAATTAACTGACAGGACAAGTAACCCCATACAGGATAAACCTTAAAACGTGTCTTGAAGAAACTCTCTTCTTACTCTATAGGTAAAACTAGAGCTTATGCTCAGATTTAATGGCTAATTTCCTTATTTCTTAAAAAGAATTCCTTTTTGTTTTGCTTCACTGTTAAGTAAATGCCATTGTACATACTTGTTTTTCTGGATGAAGAATTATCTAGCAATGAGGTGACTTCACTAATTTTACAAATCTAGCAGCCAAACTGGTATTGCACTCAGGTCTTGGGGCCCTGAAACGCCTCGTATTCTCTGTAGAATGCGAAACTCATTCCTGCGGGGCAGTCTCTGTCCACACTGTTTCCTGGGTCTCGCTGCTCTTCGTGAGTCTAATTTAGTTTCTCAGTGTAAATACTTGTTTTCTAGAGAGCCAATTTACCGAAAAATTTCCTCTTAAAAATATTCACTTGGCACCTGTATGTTTTTTGAAGCCTTTTCTGCCCGCTTCTCGTTTACCCCAACCCCTTTCTCTCCCCAACAGTAATTCACTTATCCCAGGGCATCCCAGTGGGTACTGCATTGCCCTGTCATGGCATCGCGTTGCCCACCTGCTTCTCTCTAACCCCAGTGTGCAGAGAACATAGCAGATGCTCAGGGAAGGTTTGGGTGGATGAGTACACGTATGTTCCTTGTAAATATAGTTCATGAGTTTCTTATTAAAGTTCACTTGCCATGGGCATAGTAGTTAAACATTCTCTAATTCCTTTTTTTTTTGAGAATTTACCTTGGTAACTCAAATTTTGGCCTAGGGATACAGGACTTGAATGTTTATGAAATTTCCAAGTAGATGATGGACTGAAATGTAATAAGCAAAGAAGCCGTGGGTCAACAAAAGCATAATAATCAGAATTTTAAAGTACAGCTGAATTTATTTGCACTGGATGGAAATAGAGTTAATGCCTAAACATTTTGAGTTGTGTTTATACATTTAAGCTCTTTGACAGAGCAGATCTCATTTTTCGACGTTATTGTTTTGTCAGAGTTGTCTGAGGATCTTGCCTTGCTTAATGAAAAGCATATAAAAATTGCTTTTCTGTTGATAAATTTATCTTTGACAACCAGCTTTTACACCAGCTGTGTGCTTAATAGCAGTGTGCATGTGGGCTTAACTGAATAAAACGTGCTTCAGTGCTTCAGAGATACGTTTTCGGAGCGCTGTTTTGTAAGTTGCCAGACCCCTGTAGGTGAAGGTATTCTGTAATTCTGTAATGAAATTACTGTAGAATTCGAGGTTAATTCTGTGCCCCACCCATGGTGACTTTCTCTTCTGTGAATCCATAAGCCACAAACTGGTGGCCTCAAGCTGGTGGGTCCTGGGAATGAACAAGTCCCTTCCCTTATCTAAGCTTTACTGCACACATTTGTGAAATGGACACAAATATTTGCCTCACAGTGTTGTGAGGATTTACTAAGATGTTTGTGGAAGTGCCTGGTGTATGATATTCAGTAAGTTATATTAACAGATTAACAGAGTGACAGTGAATTATTTAGAAGCATAGAATTTGAAAATTTTGAAAGGGAGGTAACCTTTAGAGATGCTTAGTTCAGTTCTCCAGCTTGGCTGCACATTAGAATTCCCTGAGTAGCTTCTTAACAATACTGATGCCTGAACTCCACCCCAGAGCAAATAAATCAGCATTCCTGGGTTTGGGTAATAGGTAGTTTTACCCTTTTTTTTCCCCCACCCATGATTTTAATGTGCAGTTGGGGTTGAGGACCATTGATTTAATTCAGTCTCATCTCCTTATTCTCTTCATTTTGTGGTAGAATGAAGTGCAGAGAGAGGTTACGTGCCAGCCAAATGCCTATCATTCAGGCTAGAAAAGACGTATTTGTAGTGGAGGGAAGTGCGGTGCACACGTGCTAAAGCAACAGTGACAGTCACGTCAGGCCTCCACTCTGCACTGTCCTGTGGGATGACCCTGTCATTTAGCCTTGTCTCACTCAGAACTACCTCTCGTCCTCAGCTCTGTGGCTTGAGGGTGATTCAGGGCGGTTTCTGTGTATTTCTGTTTTCCATCACACTGGATGAACAAGCTTTTTGTCTTCATCGTCACCTCCGTCCCTCCCAGGTTGTCCGTTTCCTTCCTTCTTTGGGATCCTGAACTCTGGTTTTCGTTCTGTGAACTCACTCGCACTGTGCAGCCCTCCTCTCCTTGACCTTTGCTGTTTATAGCCAGTCAATTCTCAACTCATAAGTGTCACCATTTACTTTGTCCCTGCCTAGCACCCCTGAAAAAGGTCACAGCTGCGGTGACGGTTCGGGACTTGTTTTTCTAGCTACCTGTGTGTTGGTTGCTTTCTACACCTTTTTCATCCCAAAGTTGACTCATGCTCTCTGTTGCTTTTGCACCGTAATTCAGGTTGCTGACTCCAGTCTTCCAGCTCTTGACTCTTAGTAGATGACCTTACTTGCTTCTGAAATGATTAAGATTTTATGATGTGAGTTTTCTCTTTTTTGCATCAACTTTTTCTTTTTTTCCTATCCATTTTTATAAGTGGATCTAACCTTAAGTCTTTATACTTATTTCTTTTAAGCATTAAATAGTTGGGGAAAAATAGGAATAATTTTTGACATTTTTATTCATGTTTTTATTAATTGTGCCTGTAACTTTGTATTTGCTTATTACACTTATATTTTTCTATGCATTCTTCTTTGCATTTTGTGACGTAATTTAAAAGCTTTTTTCTTTGTTTATGAGAGAATATGTGTTCATTATAAAATAATTAGGTAGTATCAAAATATTTCACCCTAGTACATAGAAATAACCAGTACTAAATTTTTGGTGTGTATCTTTCTAGAGTTTAAAAAAAAAAAAAAAGCTTTCTATTATATGTGCTGTTTAAAAACCTTTATTTAATATATTTCCTTATTTAACATTTTTTCACATTAAATATTAACCTGTGTTCTCTCAAAAGCTGTCTAAAAACCCATTCTATGAATATGACATGATTTACTTAACCTGTCTTCTGTTGTTGAATGGTTAGGTTGTTTCTGGCTTTTTAGCATTATAGACAAAGCTACAGTGAACTTTTTATGTGAACAACTTTGTACAGTGGTTTAATTATTTTTTGCATGTATTCTTGGAAATAGAATTGTTGTGTGAACTTTGCAGAGTGCTTATATTACCAAAAATGGTATTTAGAAAAGTTGTTCCAGCGTATACTCTTAAGACTGAGTGCCCCCTTTCCCCACATTTTAGGTGAATAATACATCATTTTAATTTTTATTTCTTTGATTAGCATGGGGAGCCAGCATTGTCCTACTTTACTAGTCATTTTCACTTGTTCTTTTGAAATTGCCATTTGTATCTTACCCATTTGGGGGGGGGGGATATTTTCCTTTTTTCTTATTGATTTATAGGAACCCTTTATGTATTTAAAGTGTTGACCTTCTGTCATATGTTGCAAATGTTTTTCTTTAATGCTTCTTCCCTCTCAGTGTTGAAGTTTTAAAGTTTTATGTGGTAAACTGTTTTCTGTTACGATATGTTGCGTTTTTGTGTTATATCACCCATTCCTCTCTGGCTAGAAATTTAGGTTCTGGTTTTCACTCTTAGAGTCAGTGCCCCCCACCCCCAC